GTAAGTTTGCTACCTTTTTAAGCACGGACGGTCCGATCATGTGTTATCCTGATGACATGCGTGATCAATTCTACATTCAGTTATCTTCGTGATACGATCTGTGCCGAGGAGCGACCAACTATTTCTGCTGGGTGATTTCAACGCGCGTGTTGGGCGTGACGAATCGGTGTGGAGAGATGTTATCGGTTTGCATGGTATTGGTTCAGCGAACACGAACGGTGACAGGCTGCTCTCGCTGTGTGTCACTCACGGCCTGACGATCACATACACTCGGTTTGCACTGAGCGCGAGTGATAACTTGGACGCACCCACAGAGTGGTCACGCTCACCTGCTCGACTACGTCATCGTACGTCAGCGTGATATGCGTGATGTGTGTATGACACATGTACTGAGTGGAGCTGAGTGTGGTACTGATCACAACTTGGTGAGAACCAAACTGTACATATATTGTCGTAAATCTATGTATTGTACTCCAGCCGTGAATCGGCGTAAGTTTAACATTCCCTCCATCGGTACTGTGGAGAAATGTAGTGAGCTGGAGAAGGCGATGGCTGTACGACTGTGTAATGTGGAATGCATAACCACAGCGGACGACCTGTGGCACCACATTCGCGATCAGGTGACAGCCCCTGCCGAGGAGACCATCGGGCGCGCAAACTGTAAGCGCCGATGGGTTGTACCCCATCGACATCGAGCGCATGGCGCTGTAGGACATGCGGTTGCGAGTGCCTGAATCAGGCAGGCCTAGTGAGCCATGAGGTAGGCCACTCAGGGTCACCGTCGAAGCGACGAAGGGTCCTGCTGAGAATGTAGGCAGAACCGGCACAGCGATTGTCGGTACGCTGCATTCGATTTACTAACCGCTTGCTTGCACGCTGAGTCTCTAGTTCAGGTGGTGGGTTTGCTATATTGTCTTATTATTGCCCACGTGAACTGTCTTCTATCAACTTGCACACGTCGCCCAAATTAGTTGTAGTTAACTTTGATAACATTTTCAGGATTGTGACAATTTTTAAATATATTTTTCAACGTCTTGAAACTATAGCGGATATTTTGGCAACCACTTTATTTCATATGCTCATTTATTAAAGGCCTATGTCTGCATATCTGCATGCATTATTCGATTTATTTTATTTAATATTGTCGTTTCAAGTGATTAGCTGTTGCTTGATATACCCGGTGTGGATGCGCTTGATGTGCATGTTAACAAGGTGCCTACCTGTCTATTTCCCACTACCACGTCCATACTGGCTCCAGGAGACAGTTGGTCGTTGCTGGAGGGGACGGGGTGCACGGTCCTTTTGGCCGTGCTAGGCTCGAAGAGCGGTTCTGTGCAGTCAGTGTGGAGCGGACTACGGTCCAGCTACCGCCTTGTGTGCGCTTGATTCCCCAAATACAGCGTGCTTATGGTTGCCTGTGAAGGAGTGTGGGCATGCTCCGCTCATGAAACGTAGCTCCCATACACATGCCTCCCGGTCTTATTCCTTCGGGTTTACACTGGATATGGGGGGTGTGGTTGGAGTTGTGGGTGGTGCAGCGCAAGCCACTCATGGTCCCTCTGTAGGCGCAGGCGTCCTGTGGCTGGCCACCATGACAGGCATGTCCGAAACCTGATGGCGCCAACCATATACCGAATGTGTAAGAAGCTGTTGCTTAATTTAGTACAGATCAGTATGCGGAGTAGTGAGCAAACTCTTGCATGGGTGCATGTTGACGTTAAATTTTAGCTTTTTATATATTTTTTGGGCCATTCTGGAATAGTTTATCAGGTGAGAATATGGATAACAACACGATTGGATTTAAGAATCTGTCGAATTCGGTGCGCAATTATTTAGGGTCTTCAATAGCTTTCCTGTCCAACTTCCGCATGTTGGCATAGATTAAGTGGTAGTATTCGAGAATAGGACGAGTGAGGGTATTAAATTAATCCAAACTGAAAGGGACTGTATGGAATTTGTAACATATGTTAGCCAGCTATCCGGTATATGGTTTGTTCAGGAAAACGGAAGTCGGAAGAATATCGGATTTTAAGATCACGTGTGGACTGCCGTCTGGACATACATTTGTTGTTAAATTTAATTGCCCAATCAGGGATAGATCGGTTACGTGACATAATGTTAGATTTATCAGTGGAGAATTTTATCAGCCACTTCTCAGACCAATTTTCAAGAGAGTGAAATTCTTCTTGAATTAAAAGTAGTGTGATCTGAATCGCAGCACGGCGGAGTTTATAAATAATCTTGATGTCATCAGCAAATAAAGTTGGCCATTTTTGATGGACATATTAATATCATTGACGTAGAGGAAAAATCAAAGGGCCAAGTACAGTTCTTTGGGATGACACCGCTCTAATAATTGGGCGAGGAGAAGAGTGGTGGTCACCCAAAGTGACTAGTTGAAACCGACAGTTAAGGGAGGAGGAGAAAAGCCAAGTTAAGAGCGGGTTCCGAATTTCAAAGAATGCAACCATTTTTAACAACCGTCTGTGTGGCACACGGTCGAATGCTTTTTCTAAGTTCAAAAATAAAATTATTATTGCATAACCGGAGTCTCTGGATTTTGAAGAGAAATTAAGATAGAGTAGCTGGCAGGTCATACAGGAAAGTTTATCAAGGAAACCATGTTGAAATGTGTGTTAAACAGGTTCAGAAAATTAGGGACGAATAACAAAGGTTACTTGACTAATCTTTCACAAATAGAGAATGGCGATGATGGGAGTATGATAAATCGGTTGATCAGTGGCAAAGTTATACTTAGGACCGCTATTATGGCGTGGGGTAATGAATAAGGCATTCCATTGGTCAGAAAAATAGCTAGCTTGTAGTGAGAAAGTGAACATATTCAACAAAAGTTAGGTCCGGCCCTCCTATCTTAATAGCAGCTGTAGGGACGTCGTCGAAATTCAACCTGAGAGACGGCTTAATGGTTTTCAGTAGCTGATGAATAGTGCTGAGAGAAATTTCGACACTACTGAGACTTGGCTGTCATGGATTGAGGGCATTCAGGTATAGCGTCAGATTCATAAATCATGGAGACAACAAAGAAGGCGCTAAACACCTCACAAATAGCAACTGGGTCACTAGTTGATTTCCCATGTTCACCCACGAGTCCCGTGAGATTGGAAGAGCTGTTGATATTTCCATGACGAAGAATAGCGACGAGTTATTGTTTGTGTTGTTACCCGTTCGTAGAGCAACTTTTTCTCGCTTTTAGTTCGCATCGACTGTGCATGTTTGATCCTAGTTGTCCATTCGTGCAGACGCAATAGTATTGAAAAGTTTCCGGTCATCCTCCTTCACTGTTCCTTCTCCCAGACTATTCAGCGAGAAACAATGGCTTGTCACTTATGCCAACGTTATGCATTTCGCGTCATTCGAAGTGAAAGTATTATTTCACATCCAGTCTTTCGACGTCCGCCCTGTGCCAGCTAGATAGTGTAAGGCCAGTCCTCATCCGGCAAACTCGTGGGGTTGGTGAGTAGTGCGTCTCCGATGGGTACACACAAACAAGATAGCGACGTGATTTATTTTCGACCACATGGCAACAGTGGCTATGCCTCCCACACTTCTGGTGATACCCACACCTAAGGCATTTGTAGTGTTAGTGGTGCACCGAGAGAAAAGGCCCGGTGAGATATGCTCGATGGGTCTTAACAAACAGACAATGTGAAGTCCCCTTCTGAATCCAAATCCGAATCGATAGGCAGCACTTGTACAATCTAGGCCGGTTCATGTTTAGGAGTACATATCCGGCAGCTCAAATGGCACCAAAGATGGATGTTATTGGTAACGATCGTCCGAAAAGCATGTGACTACGCATAGAGATTTTGCGATCACAGTAGGTGATACGAGTGCTCCATCTTCCAGTACGGGTGGTAGATGATGTAATCTAGTGATCACCGACCGATGTGAAACCATAGATCCAAAGCGACCATATCATCATGAGTTACACATGATCAACCTCAGCACAAGGCAGTTGATTGATCTGGAACACCAGTTAAAATGCTGGCCACGTCCCAATAAGTGTCCACAGGGAAACAACCTCTTCTGATCTCGGTACTAAGCCATGCTGCAGCGCTACTTGTCCACCGTGTGATTTCACAGTATGCGAAGTTTTAGTGCTTATCTGATTTAGAAGGAAGCTATTCCTTACGCAAGAAGTGAGTAGATTGGATGCGACTGGAATTTTAAATGCACCATAAAGAAAGATACTAGATACGAGTTATTCACTTAAGTAGAGATGACACAAAACACAACAAAAATCTCGTTTGGCTACAAACAAGATAGTTAGCAAAAGTCGAAAAAAAAGAGAATGAGGAAGTCATGTAGAGTTGAGACCGTACAACAACGTTGAAAACTAGACACAGCCTATCGTTGGCGGAGCAAGACCCAATGGGAGATCCCGAGCTGTGGCTTACAGTTTCACGAAACAACCACGGAGAGAAACATGCAACCTATAGGCGCACAAAAGTCAGCAGCCGAAAATTTATACCGACGCTTCACTGGCATGTAACTACTGGTGACGAATGCGGGCAGGGATATTACGAGATCGCCTGCATCCACGGGGGTTCGGAGCGGTGAGCCGCGGACTACTAAACTGCTTCTTGGTCATCATCATCATCATCATCATCATCATCATCATCATCGTCGTCGTCGTCGTCGTCATCATCATCATCATCATCATCGTCGTCGTCTTCATCATCATCAACATCATGCTCGATACACGTTAGCTGAGAGTGAAACACACCCCAGAGAATCTGCCACAATACCAAAAGATAAAATACTAAAAATTGATCAGTATGTATGTAAGTCTTCAGCGACGTTAATCACAAACGAAGGTCTGGTACACATCTACTGCACCTGCTTACATGCAGCATTGATCAAAGTCGACCTTAGGAGAACAAAACATCAACGGTTCGCAAATGTTCGGGCTTGATGATAATCGCGGAGTTATGGTGCAACCAGAAATACCAGTGTGTTCATGTAACTGAATAGCTTACCAGGGTTTTCGATGCGTCGATAGTGAAATGGATTGATGCACACCTCATCTCGTTTAGCGTGAAATGAGTACTCGCAGGTGGCAATTGGTCGAAGTTCATGTTGAGTGTGCAGATCAGGCCACCGCCATAGTTGGCAATAGAATACGTGGGGAAGACCTTTCTTCTGGGCAACCTACAGGTGGAAAAGATAAGTAAAATGAGCAATTGTAGGGACAAAGGATTCAAATAGTGAGATTTGTTTACGAACAAATGACGGTTAGGAGATGAGCAACGTAACGCGTGTTATGGTATAAGCAAAGCAAAGCAAACATTATATAACGAGTTATCAGGAGAGCTGAGGGCTATTAGGCGTGAACTAAAGCGGTACCTACGAGCTGACAAGGAAGCATGGCGGACCAGTCGGGCTCAAGAAATGGAGGAGGCAGGAGCAGTAGGCAATTACCCCAAGCTCTACCAGCTAATCCGCACCACTGGTCACAAAAAACCAGGCATCAGTGAGACAATCAGAGACAGCGCGGGTGTGCTGATACACAATAAGGAACGCCGTATGGCTCTTTGAGCGGAACACTTTCACGATCAGTTCAGCTGGTCCCCTGCTCCCGGACCTCTTCCTACTCAGGTGTTGCAGTACGAGCCATGGACGGTTGGCTTAGAGCCTCCGTCGGAGGCCGAGGTCCTAAACGCGATCACAGACCTTAATCGTTTTCGTGCCGCTGGCCCGGATTCCCACCCACCTGCAATATTTAAGGATGGAGGTGAGGTCCTCTGCAAAGCAATGACCTCCCTATTCGAATGAATCTGGAAGGAAGAGAATGCCCCGCCTAATTGGAACAAATCGATTATAGTGGCAATATACAAGAAGGGCAGTCGCACAGACCGTTCTAACCACAAGAGTATTAGTCTAACGCCAGTTGTGACAAAATTACTGGCGTCGATTCTCGTTCGTCGCCTCACGGTGGAACGGCAATCTCGGAGTAGGGAAAAGCAGGTCGGTTTCTGCCCAGGAGGTGGCTGTATAGACCATATATTCACTTTGCGGCATGTGCTAGAGCAGCGCCACGCATACCGCAGACCGACAATAGCTATTTTCCTCGATTTCAAGAGTGCGTTTGATTCAGTTGATCCATCGATTCTGTTCGAAATACTTGCTCGGAAAGGTGTTCCCACGAAATATGTGAACATCCTGCGTGCTATATACTCGAACACTACAGGCCGCGTCAGGGTCTACGGTGGCCTATCGGATAGCTTTCCGACTAAAAGTGGCATTCATCAGGGTTGTCCGATTTCTCCATTTCTGTTCAATTTCGTCGTGGATTCTATCATGGAGTGCTTCCTTGGGGAATCTCATGATGTAAGCGTTGTAGTGATGTCTGGTGAAAGATTAGTTGACCTTGATTATGCGGACGATATCGTCTTGCTTTTCGACGATGTTACGGCGGCACAATCAACCCTGAATAGCCTGTCTAGAGTGGTCCCATTATTTGTTTTGTACTTCGTACCTTCAAAGCGCAAAGTGTTGCTGAAGCACCACCAGCCACTTGATGACCCCTTGACGCTTGCTAACGAGGAACTCGAGGTGGCTTATCAATTCGCTTATCTTGGCTGCTGCATCAGGAACGATGGGCGCATGGAAACTGATGTCAGCTCACAAAATGCAAAGGCAAGAGCTGCTTTCCTGAACCTGCGGCAATTTTGGCGACAGAAGGGAATTTCCCTCCGTCTGAAAGGCAGTGTATACAAGACCAGAGTGAGGGCCGTTCTGCTCTATAGTAGTGAAACTTGGTCCCTTCGGACTGAAGATCGAAATCGCCTTGAAGTCTTTGATCATCGTTGTCTGCGAAGCATTGCTGGTGTCGGATGGCACCAGCGTGTCCGCAACGATGATGTGTGTAAGCGAGTACTAGGTAGTGATAATCATGCTAGCTCCCTAAAACAACAGATAGCATTGAATAAGTTGCGTTGGCTTGGGCAAGTGCTACGTATGTCTGGTCACCGCTTACCTACGAGAGTCTTGTTCAGTCTACCAGGTGTAGGTTGGCGCAAGGCTCAAGGTGGACAGAAGTTGATTTAGCAGCGGGAAATGAAGTCACTGACAACCAAACTGAGTGCCATTGGTCCGTCTCGCCTTCCGGGCTGGAGTCCACATGACTCGCCTTGTGCTTGGCTCGAGACTTTACAAGACATGGCTCGCAACCGACATCAGTGGCGCCTCTGGTGCCGTCTCCTAATCGGATTGCCTGTTTAAAGTTTGTTTGATGCTGAGTTATCTGCGGGGTAGTGGCTGATTATGACGCGTGGTAGTGAAAGCCGAAAGGAAGTTGTTTCGCCGATGCCGTCTTATTTTTGCACGATAACCAGCTGTTTGTGACGGCATGTTGTCTACACAAGGGTAGGCGCCATGACCCTGAATGTTTGCTTATTGCATGAAGGTTTTCAGGTAAGTCCCCCTTTTCTCCCACTTCTTATTCTTTATTCCATATGCCCTCATGGTTGTATGGCAGCGAGGAATCAGTTCAAATGAGTGATGTACTGCTGTGATGATGAGGGAGCAACTTGTTAGAAGAAACTAAAGAAAGGCATCAGCAGCATGTGTTGTGTTGAACTGACGTTTCGATGTCACGAGACCAGTGGTGGCCGCAATCAGATTAGAGGTAATTCAAGATCTCTGTACCTACGCAGACTAGAGATGGCGACCTGTGGGTTACAAACCAGACAGTTGATCAACTCAACTGCCAGCCGGGTAACCAATACAATGAGAACTACAAAAAACGGGTGTACGCTAACTCAAAGATCTCACGAGATAGAAAGTAGACCTGAAACAACGGCACAAAGGATGTGAACAAAGTAGAAAGTAGAGTAAAACGATCAAAACAAAGTGTAGAGAAGGGAAATTTAGTGCGGTTGCCGAATAGGACAGTTCACTGTAATAAGTGACATTCAGATTTGGGAATAAGTTCATTTACGATCGTTGAAAGAAAGCTGTCACAGTCACCGTTAAGTTCGTTTGGGTATTCAACTAATCCTAACGAGGGATTTTAATACCAAAGGCATATAAGGCCAAACCGATGATAAACGTCGGGGAAAACATGGAACGCTGGGATTACATTCGAAGTACAGACGCTTTCGGCGATGTTCGCTCACATGTCTAGCTTACACAATCAACTACAACATAGTTTGGACTTCCGATAGGAGATACGCAGCGTGGATCCGGACCAATGAGGTCGTGGTTTTCGGCTAATTACTTCACTAGCAGTTCAAGACGTTTCATGAAAATCGACTGATATAGCGGTGGGAAAAAAGTTTAGGTGTTGGAGAACCTGCTTTTTTGATAAAACTGTAGCAGCCAGTTCCATGCGTTTCAAAAATAACCATCTTGTTTTTAGAATGCAGCGGGAAGTTTCAAATCATCAACCGACATGGACATCACCCTCATTCATTCCGATCTGAAGAACAGTGTCCGATCAAGGTATTTCCGTAAGCGGATATTAGACGCCGCAGAAGCCATCGCCATTCGGCTGTACGAACCAGCATTGTGCACGCAGAAACGGTTCACTCACGCGTTGAGCCTACCTTGGCCAGGACGGACTGCAGTTGACCTGTACGCACGTACGAATACAACTGTAACCTAACCGAATGTGTGTCACAGCGCACTAAGATCAATTTAGTTGACTGACGACCCGTTGGGTCTGTATACTAAAAGTTTGCATTTCATGCAATTGTACAAGCCTGATGAAGAATTACCGAAAACATATGTTCGCTTACACAGACTTCTGATCAAGTGTCCGAAAGAATTTTACAGCATTACATACCCTCGAGTAGGGTATGTATGTATGTAATCTCAACTGTCTAACAACTAGACATAGAGCCAATAAAAACTATAGAGATCAGTGGATAAGAGGAAGTCATCGCGTCATAATCATCGTGACCATAGTAGTCGAAGGTGAGCAACACATTTCAGCTACTATGCCGCAGGAAGAAAGGACCATGCTGACAGAAAGTAGAAAACACTTTTATTTAGAAAAACACTTTTAATTTACTTTTCATACGCTGATTTTGCCCTTTCTTTGTCATTTTTAATGTTTGAAGTAAGGTCTCGTTGATCAGTTTCGTGGTTAAGATTTTCGGATAGAAGTAACGCCAACATGATCGCTCCCACTTATGGGGTCGTGTACCGTCCGTTGGTAAATATACAAATTTATTTATTTAATAGCAAAGCTTGATGGCGCAGTGGTAGAGGCGTTTACTAGGAAATAACGATGTTTGGGTTAGAATTCCAAGCACTTGGAGAGTTCACACTAGGACGTAACTGGTCGCGAAAAACCATGAAAACGTCCCCGCTTAAAGCACTCATTTTAATCATCGTTACACGTAAGCTGAAGGTGAAGAACACACTTCAGCCATTGTGGCGCAATATAAAAGATTGGAAAAATGAGATACTAAACATTACAGAATAAAACATAAGTATAAAAAAGTAATACGACGTTTAGTATAATGTTACGCATTGCGTGTGAGATCGTGGTTGAAGGGGAAAGATAAGCAGGAGGTGGAGGGGCGAAGAAACTCATGATGCAAACACCACTGTGGCCGATTCTTCGCCATAGCAACTAGTACGTTCAAACGGACATCTAAACATAGCTGCCAGTAGTTTCCTTCGTCGGTAACTAGTTGAAAAGTGCTTACGATGTGTGCTTACTGGGGGACTCGAGGGCAGCCAAAGGGGCTTAGGGAGTTATAGTTTCAGGTATCACGACACGCATGCGTATTGTGAACCAAAACAAGGTTAAGTAAAGTTGTCAAACAGCATACATAGAAATTTCAGGCAGTAAACAAAAAAGAAACTAGCCAAGCTAGGAGAAATGAGTAAGAATAAATGCACGAGTAGTAGCAAAAATATTATTAGCATGAAGTCAAAGTTGTCAAAGGTTAAGTCAAAAGATAGAAGCGATGACAAGTCAATAAACCCACATTATGCGTGCCTGTAAGCCAGATGAGGATGGCCACGAAAAAATTTTCCGGAACGCTGATTCATTTTGCTAAGGAACCATGAGTAGAAGGAAACGAGGACACTGAAATGTGACATGATATGGGCGGAAATTGATGGTCCAATGATTCAGATGTCTGGACTTAGGATCGGTTACCACATTCGGTATGAGGTTGTGAGCCCTAAGTTAT